GGTGCCGCCTGCAACTAGGGCCAGTCCTGCCACGGCAACAGCCTCCCCTGGGCTCCGCGGCTTGGTATTAGCTGTGGGATGGCAGAGTGCGGGCACTGCCCATCACGCCGGGTGCTGCACAGACTCCCTCGACCAAGATTGGGGACCTCGTTGTGTCAGGTGCTGTACAGACACTGACCAAGATCAGGGCCCCTGGGCACAGACCTCCTCCCCGATCAAAACCTGGGTCCCCATCGTGCCAGGCCCAGCACTGACTCCTGAGAAAGTGGGAATTTTCTGAAATATTTTTATGGTCTCTAGCTGTGCCTCAGTTTCCCCTGAATGCCACATTGTTACCCCGTGTGTGGGAAAGGGCTGTTTGCTCTCAGGGCAGGCTAGAGACACCCCCCTGGCCTGTGCTGGGAAATTCGGTCTGTATCACTATGTCACTCAAGGGTGTGAAAAATCCACATACACCCCCGGGCAAGTTAAACTGACCTAATCCCGGGTGTCGCCAGCTCTAGGTCAGTGGGTGAATTCTCCCTTCGCCCCAGCTACGGCCTCTCGGGGAGGTGGATTAACTACGCTGATGAGAGACCCCCCTGCAGCATTTCAAGTGTAGCCAAGCCCCGAGGCAGGACTGTCGCCTCGCTGCTGGGCTGGGGCACTGGAATAGGACTGGCCACAGAGCCGCCCTTAGGATTTATGGGGCCCTATGTGGTATTATTGAACTGGTGCCCCTAGCCCCGACTTGCTCTTAGCAACACAAACAGAAGCTGACCGGATTGGAAAACTTGCCACGTGCACTTTATTAAAATCAGTTTCATTGTGCTGCATTCACCCCTAACCCTGCACTTCCCTCCCACCTGCGCCCCCAAACCCAGCCCTGCGCTGCAAGTGTGCCCTCTACACTGCCCCCTTGCCCAATACGCCCCACCCCCTTATACCCAGCAACCCCCATGCCCAGTGGCCCCTCACCCAGAGATCTCCACTACAGATCCCTATGCCAAGCAATCTTCCCCCCAGCCCCTCCGCACTGCCCAGCGCCCTCTCACAGCCCCCCACTGCCCAGTGCCCGTCACAGCCCCCGCACTGCCCAGCGATCTCCCCACCACAGACCCCCCCAACTGCTCAGCGCCCCTGTCACAGCCCCCCCAACTGCCCAGCACCCCATATTCCTGAGGAAATTCAGCGCCAAAAAATTAAATTCTGTGCACAATATTCTAAAATTCTGCAAATTTTGTCAATAAATAAAGGTGGGGGCTCCAGCGTGGCAGTGGCAAGCATTGGCCACTGGCTGCATGGAGGTGGGAGATCACCCTGCAGCCTCCCCTCTCCTCCCCTCCTGGGATAGGGCCTTGGCAGTGAGATACCTCTGCTCGGTGGGCCTGTCAAAAGGCCACTGGGAAGCGTTTTACATGAGGGCTGGGATGTCAGCCATGACCCCAAATCCATTTGAATGACAAAAAAGAAATAGCTGATACCAATGGTGGAGTCCAGCCCCCATCCAGGCCCTGGCCTGCCACTGCTCTGGGCCATCAACCCCAAATGGCCTTTTGTTCTCTCTAGAATAGAGCATCTCCCGCTAATCCTGACAAGTAAAGAGGTTCTTGAGATGTGCAGTTTAATAAGAAAATAATTAGATTCAGGCACCAGGCTTTTTTTCTGCCTGATTGACACCCCTGGTTGCCACGCACGGCTCAGTGGGATTGTACTGGGTATAACTCAGCGCGCAGTTTCAACAGTGCTTCAGCAGTGGGGCTGGAGCCATAACCAGCCCAGTCTCATTTGAACAGTGGCTCTTGGTTTGGATTATTTAAGGCCATTTTCAAAGGTCTTTCCCACAGGGGAGGAAGAAGGTGCTGCGTTCTCGAAGGGACCTTTCGAATCCCACTCAACTCTGCACTGCTTAGACCTCTCCCTCCTTTAACATGCTGCCAGCTTGAGAGACGGCCCGGGAGCTACTTGGATCCACAGGGAAAAAAATCACGTCCCTTTTCCCTAAATAAAAGTTTTCAGCTACTCCAGCCTTGTCAAGTGCGAGTCCATCTTCCTCCCCAGCTAAGAGGTGGCTCCCTCCCTTGCATTCTGCAGCCTGATTGCTGCTTTCCTGCTCCAGGTCCATCCCCCTCCTCCGACTGTTTGAGTGTCAGTTTCCTCCTGTTGACACTGGAATATTGTGAATGGGCAGGAAAAGCAAACGCCACCTGCTTTTATTTTCCTTTAACTTTCCCTCCTCCCCAGCCTGGTTGTGTGTGTGCCTCTCCCTCCTCCCAGCCCGCTCTGCGGCTGATCCCTGCTGGGGAAGGGAGGAGAGGAACGGGGGATCCTTGGCATCTGGGCTTAAACTTCAGCGAAGAGAGAGGTGGAGTGAAAAGGAAAGTAGGAGAGAGATTGCAGGGAGTTTGCCGGGGCAGGGCATGTGGGCAGAAGAGGGGAGAGGGGCAGGTATAGTGGGGAGCTGCTTGGAACAACTGCTCTCCCCTGGGTCTCCTCCCCTCCGCCGTGAGGCCCAGAGGTTCGCAGCCGAATCGGCAGCAGGATGTTTCTGGCTTGTTTCCTCACGTTGGCCCCGGGTGGTTTCTCTGAGGTCCGAGCTGTTTCCCTTCGGAGGAGAAATTGGGGCTAGGAGCCAGGCCTGCGCTTTGCTGCAATTGTCTTTCTGTGATCTCTGGGAGGCCGCCCGGGGCCATATCCAAAAGTCCAGACACAGACACGTCGATTCTCAAGCCAGACAGGACCATTGTGATCACCTTGCCGACGCGGCTTAGCTGAGATCTGGTCCTGGCCGGGCCGTTCCCGTGGGGAGGAGAAATCAGTGCTGTGACTTGGGCCTGCCCTGTGAGACCATCCCCAATCGGGTGGCCACCTGCCCAGGTTTTCCCGGGAGGTAGCCGCGTTTTCCTGGAGGTAGCTGGGCCGGGCCCTCTGTCCAGTGCCCATGGCCGGCTGGGGTGGAGACTATGGGAGGAGGTATGGGAACAGTGGACGAGGCGTGCACTGCAGCCCTATTTCTGTTCCCTGCACAGGTGCTGAGGAGAATTGAGACCAGCCAGGGAAAGACTCGGGGCTCCTGGGTTCCGTCCCTGGTTCTGGGAGGGGAGTGGGGTCTAGTGGTTAGAGCAGGGGGAGATGTCAGCCTTGCCCCATGTTAACATGGCTCCCCCGGTTTGTGCAGTGCAAAAATGGAGTCCACAGCTGCACAAAATCCCTCAGCTGAGCCCAATGGGTGGTGTCAGCCGCTCACTGCTTTGATGGGTGAGTAACCCAAGTGGGGGGCCCCAGGTTGCCCGTACTTGACTGGTGTTGAGATCTGTCTGTGGCCTCAGCCCCCTCACTGACTTCCTGCTCTTGGTCAACCCAGCTGCATGGTGCCGCGCAGCCGTTCCCCTGCTGCCCATGTGACGAAGCAGGGTTTTTTTTCAATGGTTTGTATGCAGAGGGAATAGGACTCAGTTTCCCTATGAAAGGTGCCTCCTTACTGCCTCCTGCCTTCCACCCAGGGTGGGAGGTGCACTCTGCAGATGCACCTCTGAACTCTGGGGCTGCACTGTCCAAGGACAGCAACTGGGAGTGGGGTGCGGAGACGGGACGGGGGATACGTCTGTGCTGACAGACATTGAGCCGGGGTTGGGATTCACAGCCAGTGGATTCGAGGGGCTCCTGGATGCTAAGTGGGGGCACTCAGGCTACACCCATGGCATGTCCAACGGGACCATCCCTCACTCCGTGGTCATATTTGCTACTCGATTGGAGAAATCGAATGATAGAACCTATAATCCGTTTGGGGTCCCGGCCCTGCCTTTTTGACAGTCTGCCCTGAGTCTGGCACTCATGGCTGTGAACCACTCCAGGCAGCGTGACAGGTTTCCCTCACCGGTTTTCCTTCTTCCCAGCCGTGGCTGGCTTTCCCTCAGTCAGGACCTACCACAGAAGCACAAGGGGCTGGTTTCCCTTGTCTGCCTAAGGGAAAGATCTTTGCCTAAGTAGGTTTCTCATCTATATTCATTTCCAGAGCCTTCAAACCCCCACCCCCCACCCCACCCCACCCCACCCCTTGGTTGAAGGACCCATCTTTCTCAGCGTGCAAGGGCTCTGTTCCCTTCTCTGTGAGTGTAGTGATGGAGGCCAAAATGGCTTCTCTCTTGGCTGATATCTCCCAAAGTTTGACGAGCTTGTTTCAAGAGGCACGACGGCCCCAGGCTTTTCTTCCTTCCTGGGGGCTTCCCGTCCCCCTGTGTGTAAATGGGGCTTCCATTGTTTTGATTCTGCCAGGCTTAATTTATATAGGAGACAGGTACATAACCGCCTCCCCCCACATGTGGGAGGGAAACTTTCTCCCAGTTTAGCCACAGACTTTAAAGCATAGTATCATTAAATATCCATATTTCTTAGATAGTGTTTAGACATACATTTCAAAATGATATTAAGCACCAGGGGGTCATTAGCTTTCAGAAAAGACTTCTCTCCATACCCTCTTCTAATGCAGCGGATTGTACCCAATCCGTTAACTGAGTTGATTATCACACAAGGTTCAGACCAATAAATCTTTGAAATGGATCCTTCAGAAAAGTAAAACTCAGACGGAGCATCTCTCTCCTGCTGGGTATAAACACCAGGCTGTCTTCTCCCCACTTGTCAGTGTGAGCTTTGCCTCCACCCTTGTTAGTTTGACAGGTCTGTGTGCTGCTTTTGGGTAAACTGAGGTAAATACACAGTCCTTCCCTTAGGAACAATCTGTTTAACAACTCCCCCTAATACACCTGGTATGAACATACTTTAGGTACCATCCAGCATATGTCCATAATTCTTAGCACCCATCGCATACGTACTTCACACAAGGATATGATTACATAGTTATTAGTTCTCAAATGATATCTCATAAGGGGTATTTTGCACAAAGATTATCACAATAGTGTGTAGGGTGTGAATACCCAGGCCTAGTGTCACAGGTGAGATGGTCTATGTGCACAAAGGGCGAGGGAGTGCTGGTGTGGGATGGGGACCCAATCTAAGAGGGGTCACAGGGTCAGCCACAGAAGCACAGTGAGGGGAAGGACCCTGTGGATGATGACGACAGAGGAATGGGCACTGTTTGGAGATAATTTCACCACCGTGAAAGTCACACCAGGCACATTCTTTTGTATCCACTCATTGTGGGCATTTGGGCGGTTGTAGACCCCAGGGTAACCGGCGGCAACATTGGTTACCCCGTTCACTGTCGTCGTCAGTAACCAGCTCACAATCCCACCAAGGTACCAGGTCCCGTTCTCCTGACACACCAGGGGTCCCCCGCCATCACCCTAGAGACAGGGAAAGAAACAGGGTTTGAGGGTGGAGTCCAGCCTCCAGCATCCACAAGATCAGCGGTGGATTCTCTCCATCTCTCAATAATTTCACATCCCCACTAGCTGCCTTTATGGGAGATGCTTTACCCAGACCCAAACCTTGGGGCTCAGTGAAGGGGTAACTGGGTGCAGTTGTGGGCTGGGTTATACAGTAGGTCGACTGAACGGGCTGATGGACCCCACTGACTTTATACTCTATGGCTCATCCTCAAGCCAAGAGGTGCCCTGTCTAAACTCTGGGGAATGAACTCAGGGCTCAGGCCCCCCATCCAGGCCCACTGTTTGGTGGGTCCCCCCGACACACAACACCGAGTCATCAGGGACAATGGGCCAAGAGCAGTGATGGCCCTTATCTCATTTGGGATCTGTGCTGCATCCGGCCCAAAGGGAGGTCTCCAGATCTCAGTCAGGGAATCTCACCGGAGCAAAGCCTTTATAGCCTTTCATGTCCCCGGCACACAACATGTCGTCTTTGATGGGGCTGTAACCCGCCGGCTTTTTTAATGCTTTACGGTAGTGACTGTTGCAGGCCGTGGAGTCTACGGTGAGCACCTCGACCTCCTGCAGCGTCGCCGATAGGGAAGAACTCACTGGAATGAAAGGCCCGAGGGCGGAGTGACTCAGGGGGAAGGAGTGGAAGGCACGTAAAAAGCGGTCACATTAAAGATCCATACAAAGTTCCCAGCTCTGGTAGGGGAACAGCATCCAGTGTGTTAGAACAAGGCAGCTGGGAGCCAGGGCTCCTGGGTTCTATCCCCACCATTGGAAGGGGAGTGGGGGCCTAATGCAAACTTTTGCTTTCTGAGCGCCCCCCCTCACCCCATGTTATAAAAACTCCACAGCCCAGTTGTGCCACAACAACTGTTTTCCTGCCTGTAAAAGCCAGGGCCGGCTTTAGAGGGTAGCAAGCGGGGACGTTGCCTGGGGCCCCACGCCACAGGGGGCCCTGGGAAGCTAATTTGATCAGGCTTTGGCTTCAGCCCCTGGTGATGCAGGGGGTTGCTCCGCTCAGTTTTGCAGGCCCAAACTGATTCAGAAGCCTAGGTCTTATTATAGATACTTGGGGACAGATTGTCAAAGGGGTTTGGGCACCTATTGGGAACGGGAAGGTGCCCAGTGGGGTATTGAAAAGCTCCGAGGCACCTACAGCAGCTGGCACTTCGGAATCTAAGTCTAACAGAGTGTCAACGCCACTTAACCTGCACAGCGACGTTTGAATACCCCCGTAGGAGCCCGTCTGCACCGTTAGGCGCTTAAACCCCTTTGGCAGTCAGGTCTGTAGGGTGCGTTTGAAAATGTTGAGCTTTGTCTACACAGTTTGCCCTGGTTTGGTTCCATGGGTTTAAATCTCTGCGCAGATACTGCTCAGTTCCAGGTCAGGGCTACACACATGGCCGTGAGGATACAGCTAGGTGTGTGATTTGATAATGCTGGGTGACAGCTGATGGGCCGCCTCTGACACTGCTTCCTGTTGGTCTAGAGCAGGCATCGGTAAATATACGGGTGCCAACTACACCAATAGGAGTGGTTTGAAACCCGTATCAGGGCACATGCATGCGTACACACATACACGCTTACCCACCCCCCAGATATGAACATCCATTCCTTGTGCCAGGAATTGAATCCCCCATGCAGCCACTAGATGGCGACATTGCTCAAATACACACCTGCACACCAGACTGAAGCCAAACCATCTTTGTGTAGACCCCGGGAATGGCTAATTTAAGTTTAGATGAAACCTGCTCGGAAATGAGATAAGGCAACATGGGCTGACACAAGTTTAAAGTAAAATAAGAGACTCCATACAGCCTGAGGTACTGCAATAACTAGATTTCATCTGAACATCACACCTAAAAAGGGGCGTAACTGTGTGTATAACTATAGCGTTGCAGTTACGCCAGTGTCTAACTGTAAAACGGTGCCTGCAGAAATGCAAGTGATTATAACCAGGCTTGGCAGAACTGAAATCTTATTTTTTTAAGTCATTTTGATAGATAATATCAATGCTGAGTTTTAAGATTTTTGTTTCGATTTAGATTTTCACAGTTGTGCAAAATTCCGGGTTTTAAGCTAAGTTCTGCAGTTTCATGGACATTGGCCAAACCGGACAGTCTCTATGCAAAAGAATAAATGGACACAAATCAAACATCAAGAATTGTAACGTTCAAAAACCAGTAGGAGAACACTTCAATCTCCCTGGACACTCAATAACAGACTTAAAAATGGCCATTCTTCAACAAAAAACCTTCAAAACCAGACTTCAATGCGAAACTGCAGAACTGGAATTAATTTGCAAGTTTGACACCATCAAATTAGGCCTGAATAAAGACTGGGAGTGGCTGGGTCACTACAAAAAGTGATTTTCCCTCTGTTGATACTCACCCCTTCTTGTCAACTGTTGGGAATGGGCTACATCTACCTTGATTGAATTGGCCTCATTAGCATTGACCCCCCACTTCGTAAGGCAACTCCCATCTTTTCATGTGCTGTGTATTTATACCTCTCTACTGTATTTTTCTCTCCGTGCATCTGATGAAGTGGGTTCTAGCCCACGAAAGCTTATGCCCAAATACATTTGTTAGTCTCTAAGGTGCCACAAGGACTCCTCGTTGGTTTTGTGTAATTGTCTAATTGGACCTGTTTAAGGTATAACTGTGGCAATATAGCTGCACCTTTATAACTATATGACTGTTTAACCATATAACTGTGTCTGTATAATCATATACGGTATAACTGTACCTATATCATTAGATAGAACTGTGACCACATAACAATATAATTGTATAACTGTACAACTGTACCTGCAAAACCATGTAACTGTTCAATCATATAACTGTAAAACAATAGAACCATGCCTGTATAACAACATCACTCCGTAACCATACAGCTGTGGCTGTATAACCATGAGCCTAAGAATTGCCGTACTGGGTCAGACCAATGGTCCATCTATCCGACAATGGCCGGTGCCAGATGCTTCAGAGGGAATGAACAGAACAGAGCAATTTTGAGTGATCCATGCCCTGTTGTCCAGTCCCACTGTCTTGCAGTCAGAGGTTTAGGGACACCCAGAGCATGGGGTTGCATCCCTGACCATCTTGGCTAATAGCCACAGATGGACCTATCCTCCATGAACTTATCTAATTATTTTTGGAACCCAGTTATACTTTTGGACTGCACAACATCCTCTGGCAATGAGTTCCATAGATTGACTATGTGTTGTATGACTAAATACTTCCTTATGTTTGTTTTAAACCTTCTGCCTGTTAATTGAATAGGTTCTTGTGTTATGTGAAGGGGTGAATAACACTTCCTTATTCATTTTCTCCACACCAGTCATGATTTTATAGAGCTGTATCGCATCCCACCATGTAACTGTGTAACAATGGCTGCATATCCATCTAACTGTAATGGTGCCCGAATAATACTTAGTCGTGCCATGAGTGCAGGGGACTGGACTAGATGACCCCTCGAGGTCCCTTCCAGTCCTACAATTCAATGATTCTATAAATGTATAACTCTCAGTTCATCTGTGCACATATGAATCTGCAATCACCCCGCCCGTAACCTTCACCCACTTCTGGGTTCTTCCCCTGCCCTTCCCCTCTCTAACAGCTACAAGTCTTACTTACCTTGTGGTAAACGTTTTCCCCAGCCAGTCACCCAACAGGACTTCCCAGCTGGCACACGGACGGAGGCATCAAGCAGACACACGGGGCTGATGGTGGCTGTGAGCGAAATCGGATTCTCCAGCTCCACCAGCGCGATGTCAGCCTGGGCTGTGTCACTGTCATAACTGGGATGGAGGATGATCCGCTTCACCGCTGAGAATGTCTGGTTGCGGGTCTGATCGAAAATGCGTGTTTCACCCAGCTGCACCCGATACACTGAATTGATCACAGGCCTGGATGCAGGAAAACATTGTTGTGGAACTGCCGCATAGTGATACCACAGGGGGATGGCTTGTGTGGTGCTGAAATGCAGCCATCTCTGGGGAAGGGCAGCTGGGAAACAGCCACACATTACGCCACATGGGGATGGCTTGCCCAGTGCTGAGATTCAGTGATCTTTGGGGTGGAGCGCCTGGGGAACAGTCACACAGCGATGATGTGCAACAGGAAGCCAGTGAAAAGGGAAAGGGAATTTTTCCAGAGCAGCTGCAGTCACTGTCTCTGCCCTGCCTGGGGTACTCACGTCCTGAAGCACTGAGCTGCTGACACCACCCAGCTCTCAGAGATGAGTGTACCGCCGCAGATGTGGGAGCCAGACATCTGCACGCTGACCTGCCAGGGCCAGGCCCCGTCCTTGGCATTTTGGCCATTCAAGATGCGCCCTGAGACCAACGGCTTGCCACAGCCTGGGGAAGAAAAGAGGGAAACTGCATTATCCCTGGGCAAGGGAGCTAAAGTGGGGAGAGTATAAATTATTATAAGTGTTACCTGTCTATAAGAGTGCAACTGTTCCCCTCCCAGAGCCTGGGATAGAACCAGGAGTTTTGGTTCCCAGCCATACTCTGGTTCCACATATCCAGGGCAGGGAACACTGGTGTTTTACTCTGAGCACCTTACCTGTGTCATTCCAACTCCCACGTGCACTGTGACACGTTTCAGGGTGACCCGCACTGTCTGGATTGCACCATTACCCCCTGCTCCCAATGGGGGGAGAGGGGGTGAGGAGGGGAGCCTTGCCAGTGCCTACCCGGGCAACTCTCCCAGTCACTAGCTTCTGGCATCCCAGGTGCTCTGTAAGCCCTGCTCTATCCCTCTGCAGGAGGCAATTCACACACCCAACTCCATTACACTCCAGTGCCCAGTCCCATCTCTGCCCACCTGCAATGAGCACCGATCTGCTGCCTCCGTGGAAACAGCGTTCCCCAGCACCCTGCTTCCCCTCAGTTCAACCCTCTCCTTAGCACCCACCACTTGGACGTGTCTATAGCAAAACCAAGCCAAAGTTGATTTAACAGAGAATCAAAATAAAGCCAAGGAACAGGATGTGGAAACATGAAGCTATAAGAAAAACATAAAACACAGTCTACAGCCTGTACCTGTTAGCAAAGTACTGTCCTGTCCACTAAGGTGTTTCTCACCCCACGCTTAGTTCTTCCAGCCCTTGTCCAGCCCATAAAGTTGGGACCCCCCTCCTGTAATGGGTAACCACATGGACCATCTTCTTCTCTTATCCAGACACAAGCTACTGCCTCTTAGCCCGGGGTGTGGGGGGCTCTTCCGAGCACTCTCTGGGGGGTCATTTGTCTTTGTGAATCTCCAGCCTGCATCTCGTCCAGACAGTAAACAGAGGCTGTCTCCACGGGCGTCCAGTTTTCAGACGCCCCATCAGATTTGGAACCCAGCGTCCTACATGACCAAGCTATAAATTAATTCCCCACACAAACAGCTCGCAATAACCACAGCAATCAACTCAATCGCAGAGACCCAATGTGCCCCTTTCATTGTACGTGGTCGGGTACAGATATAACACCCCTGCCAGCATGCGGCTGGGTGAGTTTGGGCGTGTCTGTATCACAAGCACTTAGGGCGTGAAGAAAGAGCATTCTTATTATGGGGTTGAGACTGCCATGGAGATTAGGTTAAGGGTTATCATGGGTATAGGGTTATCATCAGGGCTAGGGCTCAGGGGGTATAAAGGGGGACGAGAAATTGAAAAAGAGAAACCTGCATCCCACTGAAATCACAAGGCTAATTCGGAGAGGCAGAAAAATCTGGATTCCCTTGCAATTCCTGGGCATAGCCCCAGGGCAATTAAAGATCAAAATATTCTTTACATAGGTCCATTAAGTTAATAAAAGCCATCTTGGTAGAACTTTAACTCATCCTGTCTTCATTCTGCCACTGTGTGAGAAAGAAAGAAAGAAAGAAACCCCGCATTTCAACTCAGACCCTCACCCCCATGATAACCCTCATGCTATAATGCCCTGACCTCATTATATCCTTAACAATATAATAACTTTAACCCCCGTCCCTAACCCCAATGACACCATCTTATCCCTCCTGCTCTAACCCACTAGACCCCACTTCCCTCCCACAGCTGGGATAGGACCAAGTATTCCTGGCTCCCAGCCTCATTCTCATTCCACATGCCCAGGCTAGGTGAGACTGGCATTTTGCTGTGTGTCTTACCTGTTTGATTCTGACTGCCCTGGGCACCTAGGGAGTGAAGAAAGAGAAGGGAAAGATATTAGGATGTCAGGGGTGCCATTGTTGGGGTCTGGCATGATGTGCCTGGGGGGATGGGTGCCAGTAGCTTCACACACTCTCCTGAAACAGCCCTGGTAGCCTTAGCAACAGTTAAAAATCTTAGAAGAGTCACTATTCAGCTTGCCATCTGTAGGTTCCAGAGTTAACAACCCCCATTGATCTGAAAGGGGTGGCTCAGGAGTGAATGTAGAACTAGGGGCTAGATGGGGAGGGGCATCTATGAAGGGTGAAGGGGTTGGATCCCCCTGTTATTCACTAGCCCAATTCTCTTTCCTGTAAGCCCATCTCTCTCTCCCCACCCCCCAGGGAGGCAGGGTCCAGTCTTCCATCTCCACTCCACCCCACACTCACCCTGCACCAGGCTCGAAGCCAGCAGTGCCGTGGCCAGGAGGGAGCAGAGATGCCCCAGGATCCAGCCTCTCCTGGTCCGGTCTTGGCCAAACCCAGCTGCCTCCATCGCTCCGACCAAAGACAAGCTGGGGATTGAACTCACCTGGGCAGGTTTTTATAGACACCAGCTCCTGCCTCTGCCCTCCCCACATCTACAGAGAACAGATGTGACCGGTCCCACAATGAGCCACTCAAGGAAACACTCAAGGAAATTCAGCACACAAACAGGGTGTGACCCTTATCATTCTGCTGTCTGGAATTGTCCCACACATAAAAGTACAATGGCCAAGGTTAATATGGGGTGATTTTCACTTCTGTGTATCCAGGGCCGGCTCCAGGCACCAGCTTCTCAAGCAGGTGCTTGGGGCGGCCGCTCCGGAGAGGGCGGTATTCGGGTCCAGGTATTCGGCGGCAATTTGGCGGATGGTCCCTCACTCCGCCTGGGAGCGAAGGACCTCCCGCCGAATTGCCGCAGCAGATCGCGATCGCGGCTTTTTTTAGATCGCGATCGCGGCTTTTGTTTGTTTGTTTTGGTTTTGGCTGCTTGGGGCGGCCAAAACCCTGGAGCCGGCCCTGTGTGTATCATTAGCAAGTGATTTTGCCAAGAGGGTCATAGATGCTAATGTGAGAAGGCACCACTGTAATAATCTAGTTTGACCCCTGGTATAACACAGGCCAGAGAATTGATGCAAAAATTGTCAGTGATGGAAAATACACCCCAATCTTTGGTTAATTGTTCCACTGGTTATTTACTCTCACTGTGAAAAAATTACACCTTATTTCCAGTCCGAATTTGTCTAGCTTCAGCATCCAGCCATTGGATTCTGTTAGACCTTTCTGTGCTAGACAGAAGAGCCCATTATTAAATATTTGTTTCCCATGGTATTTCCAGACTGGGATCAAGTCACTCCTGAACCATCTCTTTCTTAAGCTACAAAGATTGAACTCTTTGAGTATCGCTTTAAGGCAGGTTGTCCAATCCTTTAATCATTCCCAAGGCTCTTCTCCGACCCCTCTCCAATTTATCAACATCCTTTCTGACTGGTGGACGTAAGGGCTGGACACAGGATTCCAGCAGCGGTCGCACCAGTGCCAAATATTGAGGTAAATAAAGTCTCTGCTCCTACTTCGGATTCTGCCTTTTATGCCCCCCAGGATTGCATTAGCTCTTTGGGTCACAGGGGATAATTTTATGTTTTCTTCCAGCTCATTGATCAAAAACATTAAATTAGGGTTACCATTCGTCCGGATTTACCCGGACATGTCCTCCTTTTTGTGCTAAAAATAGCGTCCGGGGGGAATTTGTAAATCACTCAAAATGTCCGGGATTCCCCCCCCAGA